CAGTATCATTGCAAGGGCTGTATGTTATATTTCTAGCAGTATCATTGCAAGGGCTGTATGTTATATTTCTAGCAGGATCATTGCAAGGGCTCTATGTTGTATTTTTTGCAGGATCATTGCAAGGGCTCTATGTTGTATTTCTTGCAGGATCATTGCAAGGGCTCTATGTTGTATTTCTAGCAGGATCATTGCAAGAGCTGTTTGTTGTATTTCTAGCAGGATCATTGCAAGGGCTCTAGACTATGTTGTATTTCTAGCAGGATCATTGCAAGGGCTGTATGTTGTATTTTTCTACTAGGGTTATTTAATCAGTGAGAGCAGGATTAACTGGGAGACAATACAATGGATTATCATAGCACGGATCACACTGTAATAACAACCTAGTAACAACATGTTATAACATACATGTATTAAAATACAAAATATCGCAAAATAGAGAGAAATAAGCTGGGAATTGTGACAAAATGGATGAAGAATAAGTGAGAATCAAATGTCTCTTTGTTTCTGTGGAGAAATTCTGTGACATTAATGTGATAGTGTAATATTTTATGCACTGGATAGGACTTAGAATAGAGCTCTAGGTGACATGATGAAGTCAAGTAAGGACTGGCCCTTATTGAATTGCAACAAGAAACATAGCATTGTGAAGGAATAGTGGTTATATAAGGAAAAAAGTGCCCTGCAAGGATATATGTATTTGTAAGGAATAGATTTGGAAGGAACAGCAGGATTTGTAAGGAATAATTAAGGAATTGTTTGTATAGCTGGACTGTAGTTTGTAAGTAAAAGGGATATTTTGTCGCAGTTGGATGATACGCTTAAATAAAGCAAACGAAGTGTGACCTTTTTGTGAAACATTACATGTTGAGGCTCGTGATTTACAGATACCAGCGTATGGAAATTTTGTAAAACCTTATCAGAGCTTTTTTCTTTAAAATTTTAATGAAGTGTCTTATTTTTTTGCATTTCCATACAATTCAGTATTCATTATTTGCCTGTTTACTTTATTCCTTGCTGATTCCACTCTGCTTTCAAATCTGACTATTGGTACGAGCCTTATAAGGGGTAGTTACTTTAGTCAGTTTTCTCAACAACCAATTACAATAAATGATTGGATGAAAAAAATGGGATTCCTTCTTTGTAGAAGTAATTAAAAAAATCGAAGACGTTGACACATTTTTCAGACAAACAAGAACTGTCGATAGAATCACTTGATCCCTTATAAAACAGGCAATAAAACACTTTGTACAAAGGCTTGTACGAATGGTGATTCTAATGTTTTTTACTCATTGAGTTATCTTAAGAAATTTGTCTATAGTGATCATCTTTTAAAATACAGAACAGAGAGAAAGGAGTTGAATTGTGAAACACCCCGTGCTCTTAATTATGAAGAAAAATCAGACACATCAAACACCTCATTCTAATTTTAGTGAAAAATATATGTAGTAAGAATAACCAGAGAAAAGTTAAAAGCATATTTTACGCTAAGATTGCTTAACATGAAAACTTAAGGGTAGCAAAAGATGTAATATCTCTAGTGAACTGGATTCATGTTCTACTAGCGTTAATTGGAAACTACAGCTACAACTAAGGTGAAATGTCATTTTCCTAATTGGTATCTACACATACAACAATGTGTCAGGGAGATTAACAAATCGAATAACAAGTTCAAGACAGGAAGAGAATACTATGGTGCCATCTATCTTTAGGATATCATACTAAACCCAATGACCCGTAAAAGGTCCTGGAAAAGCTATCTGCTTTTCAGTATAAGGTCAAAGGTCAGACGCTGGCGTTCTCGAACAATGTTTTCATGGTGTATGCTACGGGCTGCAAGATCTCGTCGAAAGTCTGTTAGTTTTCGTAAATATGTTCAGACCATTACATATGTCAATGTAAGTGCAACCATTGTTCAAACCTACATTTGTCAATGTTCAAACCATTACATATGTCATTGTAAGTAAAATGATTGTTCAAACTACAAAGGCAAATTACATTGGGCCCCGTACGAGCTCGTATGAGGCTCGAGAATTACGAGTCATTACGGGCAAAAAGGAGTACGATCCTCGTTCTCGTATATAGCTCATATTCGAGGCCTGTACGAGCTCCGTACGACGATCATTCTCCTTTTTGTTTTTTTCATTACGGGCATCGCACAGGCAAGTACAAGGCTAAAAAATGACGAGCTATTATGGGCCTCGTAACAGGCACCGTACAAGCAAATACGAGGATCGAAAATTATGTTTTATTACGGGGCTCGTTACGGGCCCCATATGGTCAAGTACAGAGTTGAAAATTACGAGCTATTATGGGCCTTGTAATTACAAGCTCTTACAAGACTCGAAAATTACAAGCAATTACAAGACTCGTTATGAGGCCCGTACAAGGTTGTACGGGGCCTGTTGACTCAACAAGATCTACACAGGCTAATTGTACAGGGTCCGATGTAATTTGCCTGTGTATAACATTTTTCAATGTATGTTCAACCATTGTTAAGTGTTCAGCTACAATTTTGTTTTCGAATTTATATCTTGCTCAGATATAATTTTCCCCTAAATTGATATGTAGAACAATGTATTTTTCATTTGTAAAATGAGAAACATTTTGTTTTGAAAATATCATATGAAGCCATCTGCTTAAAGGTGAATGTCAACTGATCAATTTAGATTTGGCTATAATGAAGTTTAGTTTTACCATCAGAATGTATCTATATGTCTTTCCGTTCTTAACTCTAAAAAGCTTTTTACGGGAATTGTTTAATACGCCGCTGAAAAGTTATTTTAGTCAATTATTTCAATAATGTTCACAACCGTTACACCATTAACTCAATTTGTTGTGGCACGACAATAGTTAAGGATGCCCCTATGGTTAAAAATTATTGTTGCTTTTTCCATCAGTTCTATCTAAACTCTCAATGACGTACTTGAGGTTTTTGTATTTCCATACAATTTAGAGTGTTGGCTACATGCCTGTTTGGTTTATTCCTTGTAGGTTCCTCTCTATTCCACTCTATTTTGCATTTTAAAGCATGACCACATTGATATTTTAATCATGAGTTATTTCATCAGGATTGCTTTCATGTCATTTTGTGAGTCAAAGTAATTGAATTGAATTCTCCCATTACATTTAGTACTCCGTACTGTCCCTGTGAACAAAATCACAGTGTTGAATCCACATAAGTAGACTCAAAGCACAGATTCTGGACTTTCTGCCACCCCTGTATCCCTCCTTACCCTCCGAGGCACTTACAAATATAAATGCTTTATTGAATTGAATTCTCCTATCAAGTAGACTGTATCTTGCGGTGGATGACAAGTCCTCAAAGCACAGATTCTGGACTTTCTGCCACACCCGTACCCCTCCTTACCCTCTGAGGCACTTAGAAAATCAATGCTATTAGAAGTTTTTTTCCCTTGTCATCATAATATGTTTATATTCTTATATATATATAGGGACCTGGTTTTGGTTGAGTAAAAAACAAAAGTGACAATACATTGATATGAAAACATAAAATGGATAGTTGTTTCTAGCCCAGATGTAAAAATGAGCCACATACCAACATTCTATTTCTATTGTTTTTGTAAGAATCAATACTAAATTATCCTCCTTTTAATAACTCAATCATATGTTTCTCCTTTCAGAGTGTCTCCTTAGGGAGACTTAGATTAAATGTATTGATATTGAGAATATTGCCATGGTCATCATTATTTGTAAAATGAAAGATTATTAGTAGAAAGAATGTGATCTATAATCAGTGATCTCCACAGGATTTTTTCTCAAGTTGGTGCAAAATCCTCATTTTTACAATTCAGATCAAAATTGGTCAAAATATGCCCAGTTTTCATGATTTTTCTCAATCATTTTCAAGTGGGTGCAAATGAGTTTTCAGGTGGGTGCATGCCTATTTTCAAAATCTCAGGTGGGTGTTGCGCCCACTTGCTTTAATGCTGGGGAGACCACTGATAATGTTCTGATAATTACAGTAAAACCTGTGTTTATGGAACGTCCACTGTGCTGGCTGATTTATTGTTCTATGGAGCCAGGGGTTCCCTACAGAGTAGGATTTGTCAACATGTTTGTCAATAAAACTTAGTATTTCTCTACATAGAAAGGTGTTCCATTTGATAGGTTTTAGTGTATGTTGGCACAAAACAAAAATGAATGAAAATAAACTATAAAAGTGATTACATGACAATGTATTTGACCATACAAGTGTGCTTTGATTGTTTCAATTGATAAATTATCCTTTTCTCGATCTCAACTTTCCTGGTCTCTTAGAATTCAAAATAGAGAGCTATCAAATCCAAGTATGTAGTCTCAGAGTCATTACCCCATATTTTTTTTATTAGCTATCTAAAGGATCTCAAAATCCAGCAATTCTGAGGTTTTCATCTCAGCTCATCTTTCATGTTATAAAATCATTGAAGACAGTCTATTATATCAAAGCATCTTGCAAATCAAAAGATGTAATAAGTATTACGAAAGGTTTAGAGTGTAGGCACAAATCACTCTGCGGAATGTCAAGAAAGACCTCATACAAGTACAAGGCATTCTAATTTATCAGTGAACCCCTTTAATGTATTCTTGTACTTCTTGTCAAGCAACGTCTAATGTGATGAAATATTTCAATGTGCTGTCGTTGACCGCTATTGTTTTCCTAACATTTTGTATTTAGCTTCATTTAAAGAGCATTGACTTGCAGAGTGTCGAATTACTAATGCATAACATTATTCTGGTATCTCCCTTGAGGAATAAATTACTAAAATCACATTTTCACCACGTGGTTTTCACCTTTTCAGCTTTAAAAAGCAAACCAGCCAAAAATTTTGCCCTTTGACATGTGTTTACTTGTGTTGTCATGTGTTTCAGCCAGATTCTATGGAAACACCGTTATATGGTCATGCTATTATATCTCCCACCCCAAACTCTCCCATATCTAACCCCCACCTTAAGGTATTTCTTACCAATCTCTTACCTTATGTTATATCTATGTATTTCAGCCACAGGCAGTGGACCAACTAGACTCTACAACACCACCTACCATTGTAAACGGCAACTCAACACCAATAGAATATGAATATGAAAACATAAACTTGATCAGAGTAAGTAATTCCTTATTCATTACACAATATATATATTGGTATAATAAAATAATCCAAAATAAAGGCAGAGAAATTATTCCAACATGTTTCTCATATAATCTTGAGGGAATATTGGTATATGCGTATATTTAATTTACGAGACTGAGCTTGTACACCTATACAGGGCAGGTGAATGAGCCTTTGGTGCTGGGCCATTTGTCACTTTTTATGTCACTACCACAAGAGATGACATATTTCTATGGTCTCCAACTTTTTGTGGACAGGGTTTGGTGTTTAGCAGTTGGTATTTAACAGACGGCATCTGCAACAAATGTCAGGTGGTGACATTTTTCATGTTAATGCCATGTTTATTTTGAAATTGTGATAATCCTTGTTTGGTCATCTGTTATATCTAATATATGTAGTTTATACAAGATAGAAATGAAATATGAAAATAATTGAATCTACACTGAAGGCTCGTGTTATCCGCACCAAGTGTTTTTTTGCAGGCTCAGTTTGCATTGGGTGAACTTATCTTCAGCATGGGCTTTAACTTATTTTCTGAATGATTATCCATATCTAGTTTTATGAAAAGTACAATGTATTTCTTTTGGCAAGGGAATTAAAACAAGGCCAGAATCAATACTATCATACAAAACATTCAAATGTTATGTTTGAGATCTTGTTTCATCAGTTTCTTAATAAATATTAAATGTCCAAGAATCTGCTATTTTACTTGCATCTATGACGGACAACCTCCACTTTGAAATGACCCTTCTTTATCGATATATTTCTATACAACATATATATGTAACAAAACCCAAGGGGTCTTCAATTGAGACTGTTGGGAAATTTCCTCCTCTTTTTGACACACTACATTGTATTTCTAGGGGTCAGCTGGTCTAGGATTTTCAATAGCAGGAGGTACAGACAACCCACACATCGGAGATGACCCCTCTATCTATATCACCAAAGTAATCCCAGGTGGAGCTGCAGCAGATGATGGCAGACTATGGTAAGTGTCAATACTATAATATGGTAAGTGTCAATACTATAATATGGTAAGTGTCAATACTATAATATGGTAAGTGTCAATACTATAATATGGTAAGTGTCAATACTATAATATGGTAAGTGTCAATACTATAATATGGTAAGTGTCAATACTATAATATGGTAAGTGTCAATACTATAATATGGTAAGTGTCAATACTATAATATGGTAAGTGTCAATACTATAATATGGTAAGTGTCAATACTATAATATGGTAAGTGTCAATACTATAATATGGTAAGTGTCAATACTATAATATGGTAAGTGTCAATACTATAATATGGTACAGTGATCTCCCCAGAATTTTTCTCAAGTGGATGAAAAATTCTCATTCTCACAATTCACATTGAAATTGGTCAAAATGGCCCATTTTTCATCATTTTCAAGTGGGTACAAATGGATTTTCAGGTGGGTGCAAGCCTGTTTTTAAAATCTCAGGTGGGTGCTGCGCCCACTTGCTTTAATGCTAAGGAGATCACTGATATATTTAATGAGACCATGTATATCAGGGCAAAATGAGACCATTTTCTATATACACCTCAAGATGATAAAATTCCCATTTTTACAGTCAAGTTCTTATGGAATGTCTCATGAAGTTTGGAATTCAAAAAGTGTCATATTAGTGGGTTAATTAGTTGGGTTAAGCTTTTGCTGAATGTAAAGTTGGGGATTTAAAACATAGAGGTATAATTTATTTTGTCTCTTTGAACTTCTTTGAATTTAAAAAAATGTTCCTGAATGAAGAGATAATTAGAAAGAAAACCTACCTTTGTATAATTTGGATGCCCTAATTGCTCGTTTCATTGTAAATGACACCAAAGAGAATGTTAAATGACATTCTATATTCTTTTTACAGTGTAAATGACATCATAGTGAGTGTAAATGACATCACATGTGAAAATGTGACGCATGCAGATTCAGTTGATGCACTGAAAAGAGCTGGAACAAATGTAAATCTGGTAAGTACTAATAAATGCTCTCAACACTCAACAGTTGGAGAAAAACAATGCTATATATCCCAAATACGCACTCTGAAATCACGGTACTGTACATTAAGAGTATGGTATTACACAGTACCATTCGACTATGGTGCCGTATAGTGTTCACAGTAGCATATGGTACTGTTTTTGCCTACGGTACCATATGGTACCATATTTACGGTACTGTACAGTACCATAGCCATAGGTACTGTATGGTACTGTTGGAGATTGGCTGTGTAATCTTAAGGGTTTAACTCCCTCACCTTAAACAATATTTAAAAATGTTGATTCATTGATTCATTAATTTGTCATTCCCTTGAATTTATCAAAAGTCAACATTCTCTGCATGAAATCTCCATTTACCCCTCCCCCTTATTGAAATTAACTTTGTTCTTCCACAACTGTTTAAAATCGGACACAACCCAAATTGAGAATCAAAATACAATGTGCCAAAATGAAAACAATGGTAATCTCATAAGAGTCTGACCCCCTCCCACTTATAACAATAGTGAAAATGTTGATTTGCCTTTCTCAAGAATCTATCCAAAGTCAACGTTCTCTGCAAATGAAATCATCATTAACCCCCTTCCCCTTATTGACATTAACTTAATTCTTTCACAACTACGGAAAATATTCGACATCAACGAGGGCATTGAATGCTGTGATGTGTTAAGTTGCGGAGTAAATAGTAGCTTATGTGTTAAATAATTTTGAGTTGCTCTTTTATAAAGAGGCGCTGTCACTTGGCAGGGATAATTTCAATACGCCTTGTAATTATTTTTACATTTGGAGGTGTGGTTTATGTTTATTTTTCTCCTATCCAACTGTCAGATTTTGAATTTTATAAGGTGTTGGTGAACTGATTATAAACTTTATATTTGTTGGATGTTTAAAACACATTTTATGTTGATGTAGAGGATACATATCAAAAAAGTTACTGATTTGTACAATAAGTTTATGCATATGTTTTCAGAATGTATTTCTTGCAACACACAAAAAATCATGAAATAATTTTTTTCCTTTTGTACAATGAATTAAATGTATATGAATAATTTCAAAAACTTAATACAATTTTAATTCATTGCCATTTTCATTTTTCAGTTCGTAAAGAGACCTAAGACTGGTGATGACAAAGTCGTAGAATACAATCTAATCAAAGGCAGCAAAGGATTAGGCTTCAGTATAGCAGGTAGGTACCCAGAATGCACTTTGTTTTCCCCATAATGCCCCAAATTGCTTAATTTCATACATATTACTTCAAGATAGATTTTAGAAATTCTAAAGATTAATGTTGAGGTTTTCTAATAGGTGGCATTAGTTTACATATGTAGTTATATTTGCTATATTCATTAAAGAATAGACCACCTTATCCTGGTATGCTTTTCAATTTGAAACATGATTTAAATATTCAAAAATTCTGAAACTTGATATGTTCCTATTCTGTAAGACAGTATTGTAATCAATGTATTTCAGATGACTAGTATTCCATAATCCACATAGGTATGTCCCATAATGCATCTGGCTTTAACAGACGGCCTATTTTTATTTTCAGGTGGTATTGGCAACCAACACATTCCAGGTGACAATGGCATATTTGTCACCAAAGTCATAGAAGGCGGTGCAGCTGAGGTAGATGGAAGATTACAGGTACACATATTTCCCAAATCAGATTTTTTCTCAACATGGTCCTTCATCCTGATTTTATATGTTTTGGTCAAAATAGCTTAGTGCTTCATCCTTTTAGAACTTAACAGATTTTCAAGGGTGGTTTTCAAACAATCAGCAGGTTGTAGCATTTAGGGGCTTATATGCTGGGGAGGTCAATTATAATTACACTTTCAAAGAGTAGTATCCCATAATGCACCAGATTCTAGCAGACTATTATCCCATAATGCATCAGGTTCTAGAAGACAACATTTGTTTATTTACAAGGCCAAAAATCATAACTTTTATCTACTATATTTCCAGGTGGGAGATAAACTGATAGCAGTAAATGAAGCAAACCTAGATAATGTCACTCATGAAGATGCTGTTGCTGCATTAAAAGCTACTAAAGAACATGTGAAATTAACAGTAGCCAAGCCTAAGTTTTATGCTGAGCATGAGTCTCCTCCTGAAAGTTCACCTCCCCCTGCAACTCCCCCAGGTAAGAAAATCTATTGAGTGATTTATGTTTTTTCAGTAAAATAAAACGTCAATTTTACAAAAGACATTGAATTTCAATCTTTGAAGTGATTTGGATTTTCTCTTTTACTCGTGTTCGTGAAAAAAGTACATTTCACCCTACTAGGATAAAGGACGTGGTGATGACATATTGTTATAGTCTCCAACTTTCCTTTGGACAGTGTTTGGCTGTTGTTGTTAGGTCCTTGGTGTTTGGTGTCTGTAACAAATGGTAGGTGGTGACATTTTGCATGTTAGTGCCTTGTTTAACGCTTGAAATTGAAATGGTATTCATTCTCTAAATTTCCAGCTAAAACAGAGTATGTCCAAGAGACTGTAACCACGACAACCAAGACCACGTATCCCACAAGTACGCCAAAAGCTGGTGGCCCTGCCCCTGGACCTATAGAGGCAGACGAAAGTGTTCCTACTAGGTAAGGAACTTTGTAATATGCTTTGAAATTCTTCAGCAAAGGCAATTTAAAACATTCATAGACTTTCATGGTATGTCTTATTTGTGATGTCTAAATAATTTATAAGATAACCAAATCACACCTGACCACCCTGACAACAGGAAAGTCAGATAGCATTGTCACAAATGGTGAACGTAACCGTCCCTTCAACTACGGGTGTGAAAATTACTCAACTTGGTGTTGTGTTATGTACCTTAAATTTTGCAGTACTGATGATGGATTTTAGAGTTGTTTCATGTTGCTGCTGTGCTTCAGGCTGTGATACATGACATATTTATCTAATCTAGAAATGTACTAGTCCTTTATATGTTGTGTAAGTTTTGCACTGTTTCATTTTAGGACACGTCTGTTATGTATACTGTATTTGTAACCTAAAAGTTCCTAGATGCAGTCCTAGACAAGAAAATTCCCCAAATTGAGCTAATACTGTGTTACCTAAGTCACGCTTTTTTATATTTATGGTTAACTGGGATACATGATATTTTTCTTGTTTAGAAATGCTCCACTTGCCCATGCTATTTTTTATTATCTGCTCATTTCTGTTGAAAAAGAGGGGATTCAAATGGGTTGGTAACATGACTGGGAGACTTGTGCGATAAAGTCCCCCTTGCCCAAAAATGCTTTCTTTTTCACCATTCTGAGCACTTTTCAAGTAGTTTTGGGCCTAAGTTGTCAAATGTGAACCACTGGAATTTTTGAAGCCTGCAACCAGTCTTGGCAAAAGCTTGATACGGGCCTGATACACAATTCTATGTCATTTCTTGTTTGTATGCAGAACTATGTAATAGTGTGTGTTTGCCTATCATTATCTTATCGACAGACTAAGTTTAGAAGTCACTACTATTTTCTGTCAGTGGCTATCAGTTGAAGTAATCTCATGAGTTAAAATGGTTTAGGGGTCATGTTTTAGAATGTGGCATAGATTAAGACTTACTCAGTATAGTGTTTGAGATGACATTTGTGGGTGCATACTATGCACAGAAGGTGAAAGTTATAGGGGTCATAATATTACAAAATGTAAAACAGAATTGAGTGGAAAAGGAGTTACAAGGAATGTAATAAATAGGTGGAGACAACACACAGAAGCATCATTAAATTATAGAAAGAAAGGTGTAGAGTTAAGCTTCCCTTTAGCTTGTATGATGAATGAGATATGGCTCTGTCATATTGATGCATTTGAGCATGGTACCATGTAATTGTATTATTCGTAGTTATATGGGCAATAACTTGGTCTGTTTTGATTAGTACATGGTACGTTGCAATTCCTAAGTAAAGGATACATTCATTAGTTATAGTTGTACCTAAATAGATTGCTTTTCACACCTAAGTGGTGTATTTGTGGGATAAAAGGCTTAGTGCTATTGACATTTGAATGAATGGACCCTTTGTGAACATAGCACAAGGAAAGCAGACGACAATTCACACACTAAGGTCAAGGTCACAGGAAGTCAGCCATATTGGAAATATAAACATTTATAACTGACTTTAAATTTTGTGTAGGGAGAACAGGGATTTTACAACAAATAGATCAAAGTAAAGACTTAGGATATACTCAAAAGGATATTCACATATTGGAACACATTTTAGTGGATTTTTAGCAGGAAACATAGACAACTGTGACTGTATGCAGCAAAAATAGGTTTGAAATATTGAAAGGAAATTCAAAAAATTGTCACAAAATTGAAATAATTTATTTTGTGGATGATTTATTCATAGTTATGGTTTGCAAATTATTGGTGTGCATCTGAACATGGTTTCGCCTATTTCGAAATATGTCTTTGTATCTTTAATTGGAAAGTTATATGATGGAATTTAGTTCAACAGGTGGTTTACTATTGAGTTATGTACTCGTTCATTGTTACTGTGTTCGATATGCAATATAAATCGCTTTTATTAAATTCGAACGGGTAGCACTTAATGAAGCAATATCAATTGAATGACGATTGTTTTTGATAATTAGAGTAAGGCAATCAGATTTTACATAATACTAAATAATTCCGTAACTTGTTGGAATTAATTAATCTGCGTTATTATAAATCTTATGTTTTTTATGATATTATTTCTAAAACTAAGCTCTCCAACATTTTCCTTGTAGTTGGACATCCATATCATAGATATTTATATTTAATTGTGATGTGATACATAATTCTGTCTTCAACCCCCCCCCTCCTTCTTTACTAGCTTATTATTAGTAAATTACTAATATGTAAAATATACTCAGTTTATACTTTTGAAGCGTAACTACTAAAATAGCCCATAAATGCAAACTGTAATCTTACATGACATATGGTCATTACTGATAAATGTCCCTTCATATCTGATAACTGGATAAATATAAAATAGTGTTTGGAAATGTTTTACGATGTTCCTGATTTATTGAAATGTAGGTCTTGTCAGGAAGGTAAATTGAATAGATTGTTTGAGGAATAAATATATATTTCTTTTTAAAGCTGTTCTTTTCTGAATTAGCCAAAGAAGTTCTTTTTTGTTTGTAAATACCGTTGGTTGAAAATCAATTTCATGAAATTATTTCATACTGTAAATTCAGCTTTACAATGACACAAACCTGTCATATGCCAGTTTTAAAACTAAGAATACAGAATATTAAAACAATTTTTCTAAGTCTTCAAAACTAAAAGCATTTCATGAAAACAACAGACAAAGTCACCCCTGTTAATATTATAACAGGGTGCCAATCTTCTTCACAGTTGACATAGAGCTTCCTGTAGTTCCCTTGATGTTGATACGCAAACAAAACAAAGATAACTCGGCTTATTTACACTTTATCTTTTGTTTAAGTTGGTTAATTTAAACTCAATTGCTAATTAGTATCTTGGGAAGTTATAAGTTATCTTCTTGTAGTAGAATCTGTTTGTGTGTATAACTTATAATATAACTTATATATCAAGTGAAGATATGTTAGAATTTTGAAATTCCAAAATATAAACCATTCTGAATTTGAGTACCCTTTGCATTCGTTTGACTTCACTTCTTAAAAGAGAGCTTCGTCTTCACTCTTTCAAACTTAAATAAACCCGTGAACTCACTGCGCCAATCAGTGTTTGTCGGCCAAATTTGACCGATGTTCTTTATATGGTCATTCCTTCTGACGTCATCGTTGAGCCCGGAATTGACCAATGACATGCGCATATTTAATTAGAACGCATTTGGTCCATGTTTCTTCAAGCTCGCTGATTGGTGGAAGGTCAGCGCGTAGGTCAAAAGTGATATACTCAAACTGTCACCGGTACCCGTCGTGGGGGCGGGGCTACTAAACTGTAATATGGTCTCTACTAGGCAGAGTGTAGTTTAACTAGACTCTGCATGCAGGGTAGAATTTGAGGCAATTGAAAATTTCAGCCAGATTGACTCAGAAACAACATTTTTAGAGTATCTTTGCACGAACTTAATGAACAAGTTCGTGCAAAGTTTGTATAGTTTGATGCATATCATTGGTAACTGTTACCCAACAACAGGGTCAAATTTCTTTGTTATGAAACATTTTGACAAAAAGCTTCATAATGCAGGATTTTGTGTCAGTGTAACATCTCTAAAATCCATCATTCATGTCATTATGAAGCGTTTTTGCTGAGATAAGATTTAGGCAATATTTAAACATTTTATAATATTTTGTATCAAGTTTTAGCAGAAAAATGGTTATAGTTGAAAATGCTGACATAAATGACGGGTCTCTATTGTTAAATGGCAAGATACACTACAGAATGGGGTGTGGTAAACTCAGTCAGCGTACCAAATTGCCTCTATTTAATTCAGAATGGTTTATATTTTGGAATTTCAAAATTCTGACATATCTCCACTTAAGTTACATTAACAAAGAAGTGAATAGAATGGTTCTCATAGCATGTTTTTCTAACTACAATAAACAAGTCATGTCCTCTATTGTACGATTCAATACTCTATTGTATGATTAAATATTGTTACTTATGCAGTAAGTTATATCCCTATTGAAAAAGCCAGTCCTAGTATAAACATGTATTCACATGATTTGGTCTGTTACAATATGTATTAATGATAGCATGCTATGTTAGGGTATAAACCTTGGAAATGTTGAATATGTTATTTATATGGGATGTGTTTACATATTTTTTGGCATGCTGAAAAGCATTAAACAGCCATCTTTATTATATCATCATATCAATCTGTTTTTTATGTTGCTTATATATGATATAGTCCTTAGTGGTATATTATCATTTCCGCAAATAAATTAAGCTGAACCAAAAAAGTTTTTACAATCACTTAATCAAAGGCAATGAATACACATATAGGGTGGTAGGGTATATTCATTTCCTGTTATCTGATTGGTTACTTGATATCACATGCTTGTTAAAATGGATCATGGGTTATTACTTCCACTGAGATAATCTCTGTGGTTGATCCAATGTATTTAGTAATAAATTTAAACATATATTGGCTAAATATTGAAATGTTACATCAACTCTATCCTAAACACCTGCTACATATGATGGACTTCATTTGATGACCTGATTTTTTGAAAAAATATAATTGGGTAGAAAGTCAATACTTCACAACATTTTGTTAAAGATGCATATATATTTGTTCACCTCAGTATGAAAAGCATTTGATAAAGTAACACAGCAATACTTACCCTTTGCATTTGTTCGACTTAGTTTCTTAAAAGAGAGCTTCGTCCTCATGGTTTATAACTAGACTCTGCGTACAGGGTGAGCAAATATTACAAGAAAGTAACTTAATGTGCCATTTTGATTTTGCATATTTGTGTTTAAGTTAATGAGCAATATTTGATATTTTGAGATAATTGTTTTTGAATTATCTTGCTGCATGGAATAAATCATCTCTGAAGTTTTAGATTTAATTTATACACCAAATTGAAAGTGCTAAAATTAGTTGAATTATATCCTGTTGAATTATGTAACAGGCCATTATAACCCATTAGGTAATGAGCAAATATACATCAATCTCAGTATAGCAGGCACGTATGAAACAGTTATTTGCTATTTTTTACCATATTCTATTCTATATTATTCTGTTTTATGGGCTGAAGACGGGGGTTTATGGAACAGAGATTGAAGATTTGATCCTCATAGATTTTTGACACTGGATCTTGTCTGTCCCCCATCAAGTGTGATTGAAAGCTCCATCTGTGTTGGGTGGTCGGGCGTTGCATTAAACTAATCATCAAACATAAGATCCCAGGAAAACTGCTTTCCTGTTCAACTTGAAATCTTTACAGCTGCAAGAGCGGACTTGTGACAGAGTCTGATCAGATTTTAGGCATGCTGGGTATTTACTTGGTGGCCATTTTGAAATTTTCAATAAAAAGTGTGATATCCCTGTGCATCTTATGTATTATGGTATGATTATTTTAGAGTTTAATTTGGTTGATGTTACTATGATTTAATATGCTGGAATTCAATGGTTGATTAATGGCATTAGAAGATTTCAAAGGGGAATTACTTCACACATTATAAGTCATTAAAGTAATTATGCATGTAACTTATATCTACTGTACTCTATAGACAGTTGGATGTACAACTACATTGAGTTAGGAAATATTCAGTACTGAGCAGAGCATATTTGAAACACCAATAGTTTGCAAATCATAACTCATATATTCTATTACATTTAACAGGAGTAAACCAGAAACTCATAACCTTTTGTGACCTTGACATTCAAGGTCATATTTGAAAATTAGTCAGAAAGCGGGTTTTAAATATTTAATGTCGTGTATACATAAGAAATAGACCATGATATGAAAAGATATTTAAGTATTGCTGTCTGAGATGAATGACAATGATTTTACCATATATGGAAACAGAATAGTGATGATGTCTTAACAGAAACAGTTGCTGGAAGACCATAGTGCAATATAGTACATGAACAAAGTGCAATAACTGCACTTGTAAGTGCAATACAGAAAGTGCATATTTTAGAAATCAGCACCTCAAAGTTTAAATGTAACTGAGTATAACAATATATTGTGAGAGGAACGACATATTTTATATATAACCATATTTGGGTGTAATGATGGTCAGGTGACATATGAACAATGTATAGTCGCCAGAGGCAACTGCGTCAAGAATTCTACAATAAAGATCGGTAAGTTTCATAATCATTTGTGTCATTGTTTGTCACTACCAAGAATTTGTAACATATTGTTACAGCCACTATTTTTGTGTTCAGTTTGATCTTAGTATCAGTAATAAATGATTACACATATATTATGGCAAGAGAGTGGGGCGATTCTAATGTTACTAGTATGCCTCATCATGAGAAATCATGGCCTTTTATTAGCTTCACTCAAAGACAGAAAGATGTGATGAGTATCAGAATGAGTCTGCCTTGTTTTGGCTGGTTTAATCAAAATTTCTACCATTTGACGACGAGTGCAAGTATAAATTGTTTGCAAAGATTGTTATGATCTTTAAGATGTGTTTGCCTACATATAGCTTATGATACTTTTTCGCTGAGAATCTGAATTGATTTCATTGTCCAATTGGTTTTTTACTTCATTTGTTTTCATTCTTCACTTTAACACTAGAATGAACATGAATTTTGTTTTTACTCCATTGAGATAACACAGGTCACTTAGGGATGAGCTAAAAACTTCTTGTATTCATAATTATTTTGTAGTGATAGCTTGATTTATAAGCTTTTTGCATTCTTCTTTCCTTTTTTAAGGAACCATACAAACATGTTCATGGCTTGAAACTACTCAGCAATATCACGTCAATGTGTGATACACTTGTGCATGGATAGGTGTCAGTAGCGTATACTGAATTGTATTCAATATCTGAGAAAAAAAGAAACCCTGAAATTCACAAAAACATATTCTCTGGAAAACTAATGCTTATTAAAGGTTTTAAAAAATTGATGTTGAAAAGTGATTCTTGACAATAGATAATAAAGGCATAGATAAAATCATTTAGTAAATTCAAGGAGGAAAAATTCTCCATCCTGTTTCATTTGCTCATTAGTAGATTCTTTAGTAATGAAGCTAATAAGGAATATTGATAATATCTGATAGGGGATAATTTCACTGGCCTCAGAACATTTGTGATCTCAAAACAACATAGCAACTATATTAGAATTGTGAGGGAATACTCGTTTTCAAGGATAATAGGAGCATACTGTAATCCTCCCTTGGCCTGACAGGCTTATAATACACCCTTACCAAGGGATCATGGGAACTTCTCTTTCTTAGAATCATGGGAATTATACAGGGATTGTGGGATCGTTCTTTTTTAAGGATTTCAATATCATCCATTTTTATTAAGGGATCCCGAAGCATATCTTCATTTTCTATGTATCATGGGAATCATCCTCTTTTCCAGGAATCATGGGAATATATTTTATTTTTCCGAGGGTCATTAGAATCCTCCTCCTTTATCCAGGGATGACCCTTTTCATCATAAATCTCAGTGCAGTAATACAACTGTTAGGTGCATCTTTACATTTTTTGTACAGGTCATTCTCCCAGAGGTTGATTTGTTTAGAGTTTCTTAGAACAGATCATATCAACAAACAACATTGGATGGTGTTGCTTTTCAGTTGCAATGTCTTCTATATAATTTATATATAACCTTTAGGTTTATTTTCTCTCTGTGAATAATGGAATTTCTTGTTTTCTTATAGGTGGACATATGTTTCACACTTGAGCGATGTCAAAGTTTTTTATGCTTTCAAGTCATAGTGCTGCAGTACAATACCATACATTTACTCAATTGCATGCCAGGAACATGTTTTACATGATTTTCCCGAAAGAAATCGAATTATCTACTTTTTATAATAAACTTTATTTTGACATTTAACTCTGGCCATCCTTTTCAAGTAAATGCAAGTAAATCCTAGTTCCCAATTGTGTAAAATATTGAATGAGTATCTTCTTTTATTTTCAGTTCAGAGATAAAACTGTGAAACTTTAATAGACTTCTCCAGTCAAGTATACATAAACAAAGCATCAGTCCCATACAAAATAATTATGGGTTACACTTTCATTCTTTAACTTATGACAAAGAGACAAAAAGAACAAATTTGTATTCATATCCATTTTCATAAATGCCTTAAATTATTTAAAAGCCTGGTATTTTATGTGTTTTTTTAAGAAAACTGTTTTGGTAATTCTGTGTTTACAACTCTGATTCTCATGGTTTATTTTTGAGAAGTTCTTTTTTCACCTACTTTTCCAGATTCACTAGTGTTTCTGGTTAATGAAGGAACTTTATAATATTTTGTGTATGGTGTTATGTTGAGGAAAACTTATAAATGCCACGTCTGTTTCTAAATTGGGCTATAAGAAGTATTACCAAATGTGATAGTCATATTTCTGGGTTAATCAGATTTTTATGGATAAAGCTGAGTTTTTTTGAACTGTGTTATGAAGAGGAGTGCAATACAGTCATAAGAGACTCTGGACACAGGATTAGCATTTAGCCTCAAGATCACCTTTTTAAATGCAAGAAAACAATTTTGTGGATCCATGGAAGGAGCACCAATAAAGTGACACAATAGAGCAAAAATTATATTTATATCATATTTCTGAAGGAATTTCATTATCAATAAGATTCACTATCCTCAAAATCACTATTCTACCATATATTTTTGGGGAAAAAGGAATTATCAGATGGGAAACAATATTATGTGAAGTCGTAGAGTTATGATCAAATGGCGGGATGGATTATCATTTTTCGACTCTTATAGGTAATTTTCAAGAATTTTCTACAACATTCTACAACAGGAAAACGCAGAGACACTAATGGAAGATTAGATATTATTGACTCATAATTCTTTTTGCAGGAATACAATTTCTATTTTAATGAAAGGAAGGATTGAGATGGAAAATTTGTTTTATTGAATGAAATACTTGTTTTACTTTCTTACCCATTTTTACGTACAACTAACTTTACGATGCTTTCAGTGTTAAGTAGATCATAAAAGGGAAGAATGGCGAGGAAATATTTATGGCATCTTTCAAAAATCAATTATGTGCTCAAACTATTTTACTACATTTCTTTACTTGCAGGGAACCAAGAAAGATTATCCTCCACAAAGGCAACAATGGTCTAGGGTTCAATATCGTAGGAGGAGAAGATGGCGAGGGAATATTTGTGTCGTTTATCGTGGCTGGCGGCTCAGCTGATTTGAGCGGTGAACTAAGACGGGGAGATCAACTTTTAGCTGTAAGTAACATTTTGATATTTATTTGAACTAAACAATTCTTGTCTTGAATCATGTGTACCATCGCATCATCATTATCTCTAGTAGATGGCAGTTCTGTACCTGGATCTGAAATATCACATTTGCACAATAGAGGGAAGGAAGATAAAGAAGAGGGGTCCGACACAATCTCAGTGTGGTAACTTTAAAACTTGTGTCAATCCTTGCAAAAATGCTAATATCTGACCTTTGTTGCATCTACATAAAGTATGCCAGCAAGAGGTAAAGAGCAGATGCAAGGCTAAAAACATTTCATACACATTTGTATGATTTTGTATTTAAGCGGAAGTATAGATGGCAGTATAAGTAATAAATATAAAATCATATAGCTTCCATAGATGAATGCAGCCTAGGCACTCATGTTTCCCTCATAAGCAAATGAGACATTAGGAGGCTGAAAATTAAAGTACAGTAAACTTGACTAAACTGAATCTTTACTGGGACCAGCTAAAATGTCCAATTTGAGAAGTTATAGAACTAGAAGTTCTGATAACATGGTTTTCATGGCACTGGGATGTCCAAACCTGACAACCAAAGAAGTTTTCACATTGAGCAGTGTTCTTATTCATGGTGTTCCGATTCAAATTGCATATAGACTGGTTTAACTGCACCAATAAAGTATTGGAGACTACTGCGCCATCTTTCATTAAGATAATACATGAACAGAAGAAAGAAATACATTTAGTAAAAAGCATCGAGAAACATCTGAATTCTCCAAGGACAAAAGTGACGTCTTACCTAGTTTTTGGAAGACGTGTAAGATTGTTACAAATTATTTTAGTTATTGCCTACAGTAAAACACTGGGGAGTCTTATGTTGTTGCAAATTGCAGAGATCAATACTGCAAGTATTCTCCACAGAGACAGTCTCGTGCACAAATGCAATTATTTGATGAATACTGATTTTGCCAGATATTGTGTATTATGCATATACTGTTGTCAGATCCTTTCAAATTGCAGAGATCCTGTAAAGAGACAGTTTAGCACATAGATATGAGGAAAAAGCTAATATTGAGTTAATTTTCATCATTACACATGGAAGGGATCTCCCCCGATTTTTTTGCGAAATCTTAATTTGGCCTGTTTCGGTCAAAACATCTCAATATGAACAGATTTCCAACAGATATGAACACATGTATTCTTCAAATTTGAATTTGGGCACAGTACCCCCTTGATGTGACACTTGGTGAATCCCTGAATGGTGATTTCTTGGAGGACTCACTCCATATAATCCTACCAAAATACCTCAAGATTGAAAAAACATGATTATTGGGCCAGGAAGTTCAAGTTACGATCTCCGCAATGCGGGGTAATCCCTGGATGCCAGTTATGTTATTACTGTGATTTTCTCATCATTCGTTTCAATGTTTTTCAAATTGGATTCAGATATATTGATCTTGGTAACATGTTGGAAGATAAAGATACCCTATACATTGATCTCCCTGGGATTTTTTCTCAGGTGGATGAAAAATTCTAATTTTCACAATTCAGACCAAACCAAAATTGGTCAAAATATGCCAATTTTTGATGATTTTTCTCATTTTCAAGTGGGTGCAAATGGATTTTCAGGTGGGTGCAAGACTATTTTCAAAACCTCAGGTGGATGCTGCACCTACTTGCTTTAATGCTGGGGAGATCACTGCTGTACAAAAGAGATAATTGGTGTATCACACTCTTTAAATGAGCATTAATCTTTGAACTCTTTGAGCCAATCAGACTGCCATTGGTGGCCATTACTGATCTGTGAATATAGGAATCTGGGTATGCCTACACTGTTTAGTTATTGTCTATCAATTTATTGTTTTCAAATCATTTGTTAAATCAATTTCATTTGTTCATCTGTTAAGAAAGGGACATGTTGAAAGCTAATAAGAGAAATGTAAATAGATCAAAGCAATAACTCAGATGCGAGTAGGTAGTTACCAGTTTTACCACCAGGTGGCTCGTTCGGGTCAGATAGCATGGCGGGTATAGTAGAAAGTTCCCTTTAACTTAATCTAGTCTAGTCTATTCATCTAGTCTATTCATTCATTCTTAATCAGAATATGAACTCAATAGTGAAATAATGTATTGTTTGATCTTATCTTGTTCTCTTTGCTGATATGTAATTTTGAATTGAAAATGATAAGTCACGTTGTGCATGTATGAAGCCACTTTCCCGCCAACAGTTTTTAGATCATACTAAATAAGGGACTAAGAGTTAAGAAGAGGGGGGCTAGAGTTGATGTAGAGATGAAGAGTTAGGCAGGGGTAAAGCATGGGGATGCAGTTGATCAAAAAATGTAACTATGACCATGGTCATGAAAACTATGTGCTCAATTTTATCGGAGATGGGTCAGGATACCCAAGCGCTCAAAAATAACATTCCCTTGTTGAACAGTTTGAAACATCACATCTCAGTTTATTCAGTAGCAAAGCATCACCAATATTTGAAAAGAATTGATTGACGTATCACTTCAATAAATATGATAAAATTCATTGTTGCATTTCTCCTCAAATTTTTCACCTTCCTTTTGAGATATGTTCAGCATGTATACAGCTCATCTTGAAATGTTTCTGAAGTAAGGTCTATATATTAAGATGCTATTGACCTTACCACTGGAATGATCATAGACATTTTTGGGCAAGCTCAAGTGGTTACTCATTCAAAATATTTCATATTTATTACAAGCAGTAAAGCGCAGTTTCCTCTTTAAATCTGATGATTTTTGTTGATACAAGATTTGTGATTCTTCATTTCATGTTCTACAACTAACAACTTTCTATTGAAGGAAAATGGGCAAATATATTTTTATATATTTTTTTTTATAATTTTTTTGTACAGTCAGTTGAAGTGAAAGGTATTATTTTAGGCTGACCCTGCTAGACTCCTACAGCAAAACCATTTCAGCAAACTTATATTTTCACATCATAAACAAATAACATATGTTTGGAGAATTCTTGTAAAAATAAACATGTATGTGCAGCATAATGTGCACTACTTTATGTATATTGGAGCAAAAGTCAAAAATAAGTAATGGGTTCTTTTTGAGCTGTCTTAGAGAAAATCTTCAAATTCTCAAAAGGGTTAAGTGCACTTATCATTGTTCAGAGAATTCTCTCTGGTATAACTAAACAGTATAAACTCCATCAGGTTATTTTAGCCCTATGGCCATACCCTTTTCACAGAATTTATTTTGGATTTTTGGATAATCCGGTCTTTTTGGAATTTTTGAATAAACACGTCTTTTGGGAAATACTCTATATTTAAGGTATAATAATTTAAGGTATTATCTAAATGCCTATCTACTTTATTTACATGCATGAAGTGTCTTGTAAATTAGATTTATCTTTTGAATTAAGAGAGTAGTTACTCTAGATATTGAAAAGGGTACACTTACAGCAAGTCAGAACTTATCTTGTATAAGTTGTATGAACAAAGAGAGAAGATCATTATAATGTACTACTTACAAGCCTAGGTCAAGATAAGTGGCCTTCTTTTATAAGAACACAATACTGTGTTAATCAATCAAGGAATCAACCGACCGAACAATCAATCAGTCAGCTAATCAATCAATTAATGAGCTAATCAATCTAAAGCAATCAATCAGTCAGTGATCACTAAACAAGTTAATCAGTAAGCCATTCAAACAGTCATTAATCAGTTAATTAATCAGTCAATTAACAGTTGATCCAACCAATCATTAAATTAATTAATAAAAAGTCTTTATATTATTTATATATCAATCATTTGGTATGTTCATTGTGTTGGCAATAAAGCAATTTGATATAGTTTCATGGTCAATACAAGCAAATAATCAATCAATCAATCAATCAAACAAACAAACAAACAAACAAACAAACAATCAACTGATCAATTAAAACAGCATCAATGTGCAACCTGTCAGTGTCAGTCAAATGTGTTTTTTTGTAATCAATCTATGAGCATGCTCTAAGCAGCAAATACAGTTGATCCTCTGTATAAGGGATTCCCATACAACAATTAAGATAATTGCATTATAATAGTATAGATTTGCCAATATATAAGAACAGTAATATTCCGATTTGTATTAAAATGCCATGAAAATAGACACTCCATTAACATGTACTTAAAGTAATGAAATTGATATGATTAGGGTAACCCTTTAAACAATTGGCATTTTTCTGCATTTCAAAGTTGAATTAATGAATTTAATTCAAATTATGTTGTGGCATTTCAAAACTTTGTCCCAAGTTTTAGATTAGTGTTAAAACTTCTTTTTTAGACTGAGCAAACATTACAGAATCACATGTTCATACTTGAACTCTAATTTATTGAATTGTAAAAACTTGTGAAATTCTTGGCAACAACGAGATTTAAAAGATTAACTTTCATCAGGTCAATGTGATATTAGAATGTGTTAATTACAGTTAACACATAAAGAAAGATAAAGATAGTTAAAGATAATAGTGTGAGAATATATATATATACACAGGAACCTGTGATCAAACACCTGTTAAAAGTGCTGCTGGATTACACTCTAAAAATCGTGAAGACCCCTTATACAAGTCAGTTCAAATATTCATGTGATAATGATTACAAAAGGAGATTTTTGTAGAAATATATTTCAGAGAAAGTATGCTTGATTATTAGCAATTTAGGGAGGTATTTGCTGAAAAAAGTATTTATCAGACAGAAGTATTCACTAGAGAAGTGTTCACGGGAAAAGTGTTCACTGGAGAATGGTGCTCATGAGAAAATAAGAATGAAAGTGAATAATTCACAAGAGAGAAATTCCAGAGAGATTCACTGTTCACTCCTACATGTTGCACTGTATCTCAGCTTTCATTGGTTCAGTGTGCTAGAAAGTGGAAAATCATTTAATTCAATCATAGCTGACTCAGAGTTCTAGATGTAGCAGTTAATTATGAATATGTAGGAATCAGATATAACCATTTACAGGAAGGAGTGAAACTTAGTGGAGCTACTAGGAGGAAGTGGAGTT